TTCTTGCCTAGGCATTTAGCTATCACATGGAGTTGGTACATTAAACTCCTGACCCTAGGGAGACAGTTAGTTGAGTCCATCCAATTGGGTGTTAGGGGCCTCAGGTCTTTTCCCCAGTTCTGATAAGGAGAGGTGGAATGAAGGAGTCAGGATGCCTAGGTTCCCTTCCCAGCTCTGGAAGGGAGAGTGCAATTTCATAGGTAAAAGCAGGGGACAGGAGCATAGGACTCCAGTGTCCTGTTGCTCACTTTGACATATGTTGTGTGACTGAGCAAATCCCCTCCCTGCTCCGTGCCTCAGTTTCCCCACCTGGAGAATGGGTATCATCATCATCACCACTACCCATGTGGTGAGGCCCTTTGAAATTGGTGGATGATGTATGCTAATGCCAGCTTTTTTTGGTGCCTTACTGGGGCCTGTGACCTCACCCAGACCTGCCGGTAAACTACTATCCAAAGTCAGAGCTCTCCAACTAATTGTTGTTTCCATTCTCTGCACTGGTGTTTGGGAGGTTTGGACTTTGATGCCTCTCAAAATGAGTATGTAATGGAAGGGTTTCAACCTCGGGGTAAAGCTATAAGCACTTTTTATAGCCCTTCTTGATTGCAAACTGGAATTACAGGGGGGCTAGCTTCCTCCGGGCAGTGCCCTGACCTGTTAGCTGGGTCTGCAGCTGTGTAAGCTTCCTCTCAGCCCTGCCCTGGCCCTTGCCAAGTGTGATATGATTTCTGGCATGGAAAGACCCATCTGCAGACTCACAATAAGGGCCAGGCCCTGCCAGTTCACAGTCCACTCTGGTAACAGGAGAGAAAATCTCATGGATCTTCCCCCTCCCCAGCGCTCCCCTTTCCAAGGAGAGGAAGCCCCCAGGGCAGCCCCTTGGAGATTAAATCACTCTTTCTTGTGGGATCACAGGAACTCTGATCCCTTCAGAGCTTTTCCCAGCCATGCCAGCACTTCCAAGATTATACAAAAAGCTCCCAGTTCAGAAAGGATTTGGCAAGCCTGCTGGCCTCTCCACTTCCCTGGACAGTGTCTGGGTTCCCCTCCTGGCCTGTGACACTCTTCCCTGCACTGCTGCTTTTGGAAGTGCAATACCAGCTCCCCAGTGCACATCGTGTGTATGTGCTGCTCCACAGAGCAGCAAGTCCTTGGTAGATAGAGTAACTCCTTAGAGTTTGTGCAGGATTAAGTTCTGGGTATGCACATTCATGGGGGCAAGGAAGGGGCTCATAGAGGGAATGCCTGTTACCATCCCACTTCATGGGCTGTCATAGGCAGAGCAGGTTTCAGGCAAGGTCCGTGTTTGGAGGGACAGTATCTGGAAGGAACCAAGGCATTCAGGGAATGATGTCAATGTGTCAGTAGATAGCACTTTTCCCACAGCTATGGAATGCAAAGAGCTGGTTTAGCACTAGGGTGCGTTCTGCTGCTTGAGGTGCCATGCGCTGGAGGAGACTGAAAACTGAGATCTGGAATTGCTTATGAGCAGCGAATGTGCCCTAACACTTTTTGCCAGTGGTAAATCTCCATGTGGGCAACTGCTTTCTGCCTTGGCATGTTCCGTTTGCAGGCTCCATTGGTTTTGGCAGTCTTCTGAGCTTCTTGTCCTAACTTGCTGCGTTGTGCGAGGCTGTGAAACAGTTGCTGTGCTCTACCCCAGCAGTGGCTGCATTTCAGAGGCTGGGGAAGTGATTCTTGTATATTTTTTAGGGTGAAGGTTACATTCGAAAGGCAAGAGGATATGAAAATGAGGAGAGTTCTTTTTTTTTTCTAGGCACAAACTAATCCCTTATGCAAGCCATATAATTCAGAGGGTAAAATTCAACCTTGATATATGCAACTTAGTTACCATGTACATATGTTTATGAAAGATGCAAACATGTGTCCCATCTCCTATTTTTCAGAGCCTGGCAACCTAGATGGTAAACTGGAGATTGTAAAATATATATCCAGCTCTATTCTGGGCTTAATTGGACCAATGCAAATCAGGAGACACTCTAATGGGTTTAACATGACATAAGAGCAAAATCACCCTGAATTTTGCTACTTGTACTTATCTGATGGGCCTAAAGGTTCCAACCACGATTGGGGCCTGGTGTGGTAGGCACTGTGCAAGCACCCAGTAGAAGATGTCTTCTTGCCCCAGTCTAAATAGATAAGACTGAAAGAAGTACAGGGAAGTGACTTGCTCAGGGGCAGATCCAGCAGCAGAACCATGAAGAAAACTCAAGCAACCTGAGGCCCATATACTAATGTTTCAGCCTCTGGGGCCATAGTTATATTGGAGTAGCCCCCAGCTAGGTGTAGTAAACACGTCTCACAAATTCATGTGGGAAGAGAGCAGTAAAAGGGTTAATTCTGAAACTCCCTTCTACTAGCTGCATTGCCAGCTCCTGCTGCAGTCCCTACTTCCAGTCTCAGTCTGGTGTATGCAGTGTGACGGTGGGGGGGTGGGCTCAGCCCCTCACCTGTTGCCTGTCCGTCCTAGTTCCCATCGTATATCAGAGGGGGTCCAGGGTGTGCCTGGGCTGTCTGGCTACAGATCTGACGTGGGTTCATTGGGATCAACAGCCTTTCATCTCCTCATGGGGTTTTCTATCAACCATCTTTTTCAAGTTAGAAGCATGCACCAGGTTATGTACATGGGAGGAGAACACCTCAGTCTGGTGCTTCTGGGACAAATCCAGACCAGAACCACCTCAGACACGGTAGTGGGGGGAATTCCAGAACAGCAGACATTATTGCTATCATTTGTGATTGATTACACTCCAAGGTGTTTTGGGCAGGGCCTGTGTCTGCATATGCCTGTATGTAACAGTGTCCAGCATAATAAACCCCAAATCCTGCTAAAAGGATTGGGTCTTTTGGGTATTATCTCATATAAATATTAAATATGAAAGGTCTCAGTACTGCCTGTCTGTCTGTCCCGGGCACTTTACAGTACAAACAGAAAGACACAGGCTGTGCTATAAAGAGCTTATAGTTGAGTGACAGATGCATAAAAGGCAGGAAGCTCTGGAAAATGCAAGAGGCATTAATAACTTAGCTTTACTGTTGCAGATTGATGGTGTTTGTTTGCTCACAGACTTTAGCAGTCGAGATGACTTAATTGTAAGAGGGATATTGCTCTTGCCTTAAAACCTTCTTCCATTAGAGCCAGTGATGTGCTCAGAGGTCTTCTCCACCAGAACTGCCACTATTTGACATCCTTCTGTTAGGAACATTTAGGGATGAAAACAGGGGCACAACTATTTATTCTACTGAAATACACTGCGCTTTGGGCTGAATTTCATAACTTCATTGTTTCCTAGATCATAAGGTGAGAAGGGACTGTTTAGTGGTCTAATCTGACTTCCACTGCCACTCAGGCCATCAATTTCCACTCTACATTGAGCCCAATAATGTGCTTGCTCAAGAGCCACAGGAGTCAACAGAAAGTTTCCTATTGGCTTCTGTAGGCTTTGAAGCAGAGTCTACAAGAGGTCGTCTAGAGGGGATGGGATGGGGAATGTTCCATATTTCTAAGCTTGAGGGACTTGGACACTGAGGACACTAGCATTGCCTTTGTCCCCCCAACCCTAGCTCTTACCTGTGCCATATTAGAGAGTGTTCTTGGTGTTTTCACTGTTGTTGAAGTGGTGATTTGCGGGATTCGCTCAGTTAACAATTGCATGTTAACACAGGAGACTGGACTTTATGCTTGGGGAGGGGAGGGCTTTTAGTCCTTTGTTCCTATTCCTCCTAGGAGAGGTGCCTCTCATGTTTAGTGATTCTCACTGCCATAACTCTTTAAGCAGCTGCTATGACCCCTCACTGAGGTGCATTCCAGATAGTACAACAGGTCCCTCCTTTCACCTCATCCAGCGGAGTCTGCTGGAGCTGGGTGAAGTGCAGCAGACCTGTGCCTTTGTATTCAGATGGGAATGCCCCATTTGTTCACAAAGGCCAGATAACAAAGAGGTCATTCTGGTTTGATGTGAACTCATGTGACCTCTCAGAGACCCAGTGCAGGGGTTGGAATGGGGTCACTTGTGTTTTCCTGGGGGCTTTCTCTGGGAATACCAGGTGCTCTAGGGGATGTTCTCATTATCTCTACAGCTGGGCAGATTTTTGTTGACAAACAGTAAGTTCACAGAAGACTGGAGTTTTGGAAAGACCCCAAATTATAGGGAATTTAGACTGAATTCAGTGACCATTCTTGAGCTGAAGAAGTGGTGCAATTGTTTGCAAAGGCAGTAAGACACGTTGTGTGGGCATTTGCAAAATGAAACAGTACCTTTCAGAAGGCTTCATTTTAACATTTTCATGTAGAAACTCTTTTGGCTCCTCATTCCAAAAGGCATTTTTTGCTGAAAACCTAACCCACATTTCAAAAATAAGAGGTGAAGCAAAAAGAATAAATAAGCTTGAGACAAAGAGAAATCATTTAATTTTGGGGTGAATGAAATTGTCTAGTTCTATCTATCTATCTATCTATCTATCTATCTATCTATCTTTCACAGCATCCAAACATGTACTGAGCATGTTATAGTACAAACAGGAAGTTCTGGCCCTGCTACAAAAAACCTGCAAGCAAAAAGCTGATGTGTAAAAGACAGGCAAGAAAGTACTTTGAGGTCTTGAATGGACATCACTGTAGAAGTAAATACAATTAATTGTTGCTGTACTATAATTGTATATGCTTTACAGTAGGCAGGTTCTGGCCTGTTGCTGGGTCTGGATGGTGTATTTCTCAGGCATGGGTCATGACATTCTCTAAGCCTTCCTGTCCTGGATCCAAACAGCGGCTGTGCACTGATCTTGCACCCTGCCCAAAGCTCCCTTATTGCTACTTGTGTATTTGCAGCTGTCAATAAGCCCAGGTTTGGAGGAGGTGGAGGAGGGAGAAAAAAAGAGACAGAAAAGGAAGCTGTTGTTTCTTTCTTCTTTAATTACCCTCTGTTTGTGGTGTCTGCTGCAAGCTTCCCGTCCCCTCCCTGCTCTTTCAAGGGAGAGATCCCAGAAGGGCAAAGGCTTCTATCAGCCACTTTGGCCTTGCCTGGAAGGGTTAAAATCATCTGGGGCAGGTAGGAGGGCGGAGCTGGGAAGGTGGGGAAGGAGTGAAGGGGAGAGGGTGAGAGCTTAGCAGTGAGTCACTGAGTGTTTGCTCCACTCACCTGGACTAGTTCTGCCTGACACGGCGCTCAACCAGACGATCATTTTGGGGACCGGCTCCGTTCATCAGACTGGCTGCCCTGGGGATTTTCCTTTGCGGAAGGCAAAAGGATTCGCCTAACAAGCCAATGAGGAAGGACCTGCAGGGTGATCGCAACACCTACCAGCCTTTTTAAATCCGTACGTAGCCGAACTTTAGCCCAGTTCTTTGGAGATCTCCCCCCGAGGGATGCTAATGCATATGGGTTCAGGCTCACCAGCCACAGCTGGATTTAGTGGCTCTGCTCCTGGAAGCAGGTGATCTGAGCTCCTCCAGGAGCATGGTTCAGACAGTCCTTGGGAAGAGGCACTTCCCTGCCCTTCTTAGGACACCTGCTGCTGTATCTTCACTCCCTGGCCCAATCCTGGTGATTGCAAGTTGCTGCTTCCAAGAGCCATGTCAGAGTCAACTGGCTCCTGATCTGAAATGGCCTACAAGCCTGGATATCAGAGAGCCTGGTTCTGCTTCTATTCACACTGGTGTCAGTCTATTGATTTTACCAGGTTCCCCCCATTCTAGGCTTGGGTGAGTGATGGCAGAATCCATTCCTCACCCTTGCCAAGAGCTCCTTGATGGTTGGTGCCAGCATGGTGACATTAATTTAACTATCTTAGGGCAAGCTCCTGGTGAAATAGTGCACAAGCAGACTCAGATGAGAGTAAGTCACATGAGTGCAACCTCTGCTTCTTGCCGATGCAGTGGTGTCTGCACTGGACCCTTGGTCTGTGCAACTGTATCCCTCCGGGACAGGCAGGGCCTGTTGAATTTCTTTTTCCCCTGTGGATATTAATGGGGAAGCAATGCTGTGGGCTCGGCAATAGTGTAATACAGAGGAGGGTGCAGTCTGCCACTGGGTTCCTTAGATAGTGTAAGAGTGATGTTGTAGCCATTATGGTCCAGAAATGATGTGAGAGGCAAGGATTTCTTAGGAAGATATCTTTTATTGGACAACTATGTAGTTGGGATAAAGTTAGACAGGCTTTTGAATGTGTTCTTTAGCTATTTCAGCTTCAAGTCTAAGCTGAAAGGATCAGGCCCTGAACAACCCTCTCTGAAGTTACCATGGCTGCATGGACCCCTGGCATACAGAGATTTGGGGGAAGGAAGCGGTAAATAATGAGTGATCTCTGCCTCCTTCCCCCCTACCCAAGAGCAGGTCACCCCTCATGCTCAGAGCAGGGAGCTAGGAACTGCCGCCTTCTCTTTTCGGCGCTGTTCCCAACTCTGTCCATGACTTTGGACAAATCATTTCTCTTTCTGCGTCATTGTTCCTACCAGTAACATAGTGATCAAGCTTTTAATCCATGCTTCAGAGGGTGCAGGGGAAGGAGTTTAGGAGGATTTATTAGTATTTATTAATTTTCAAGGACCCATTTGTTCAATGATTTATTGAAAGTGAAACTTCACAGGGGCGTGTCAGCTTGACAAAATCCAGTACAAAAAAATTGTCAGAAAAAAAGCATTTTGAGATGTCCAAAGTGTTCCCTTTCAACATTTTCTTTTTGTTTAAATGATCAAGTTCCATTTCCTAGTTGAAAATATTTGGGTTAGAAGCCTAAGTTAATGTATACTAAAAGGAAATGTGAAAATAAAGGGGTGGGGACATTAAACATTGAAAATAAAGCATTTTGGCATTATTGGCACATTTCAATTGACCCAGTGTTTGTGGTGTTAAGGCTTGTGAGTGGTTTTGAGATTTCAGGGGAGGTTTGTCCTGATTTGAGTAGGGAAGTATGTTTGTCATCTCAAACATTCTTGCTGGATGGGGAAGTTTTGTGGATTGGTCTGTACAGTGCTTGGCAAATGCTGAGCCCGAGTCTGAGGTAGCATGTGAGGGACATGTCCATCAGTGACTTTGATAGGGTGTCACTTGGCTGAATTGGTGTTCTGTTGCCCAGGCGTAAATCTCTATCTCATCTGCAGAGTGACTCCTCTAAGAGGGACAATTCTGGATCTGTCACAGAGGTTAGACAAATGCTTGGGAGGGCTGGTTTAATCAGGGCTGATCCTGCCTTTAACAAAGGGTTGATGTAGAACTAGATGACCTCCTGCAGGCCCTGGCAGCCCTATTTTTCTATGATTTCTATGATCACAGCTTGCCCCTCTTCCTGCCCTGCTCCCCCCAAGTCTGGATCTGGTGCAACTGTGGGGCTTGGAGAAAGGGGTAGTAGGAAAAGTGACTGCTTTGCCTTGTGCCTCCCTTGCCACCTGGACATTGGAGTTGACATAGATTCCCTTGCAGCCACATACCCAAGCGTCACCTACACCCTTTGAAACTGAACTCAGCCCCTAGGGCAGCCCTTGGTGGGATCTTTCCCTGTGTTTTAAAGCTGTGCCAGGGAGTGCATCACCTTTAGGGGTGGGTTGGCCTCTTAGGATAGATGCAGTATCCAGGAAGAACAGTCTCCTGGTCAGCAATGCTTGCCTTTGGCTGACAGTGGCTGTGAGTAAGTTTGAAGCAGAGACTTCCCATGGAGTCCCATGGGAGGGACGGTTGCTGAAC